CGCATAATAAAATTTCTGAAAATTCAATACAAAAATTTTTTAGTGGCACCACTGGCTATGTGTAGGCCCAACAGATTTCAGGTGTAAACTCAAAGTGTCGCAGAATCAGCAAAAACGTAGACAGTTTTCAATTTGCCTGAGCCTGTGCTATAATTAACGGTTGTACACATACATACATACACACACTTAAGCGCATACATATGTTGCAGCTGATATTACAAGCACTACCTGCCAAGCCTTATTGGTAGCTTTAACAACACAACTACATGTGTGGCTGTTGGCTATTTGTTTTTGTATCAACACAGGTTGATGAAATGAATATTCAACATGAAATAAAATAAATTAAAAATCACATAATTAATTATTAACCAACGCTGCGCGCAATTTACATGGAGTATCTCTTGATGTTTATTATTTATTTACCATAATAATTGAGTTGCGGTTGAGTGTGCTGAAATTTGTCCTCTTCAAGATTATTTTCATTTTAAATTCTGCTACATAGATTAAACAAAAAATGACAAATCAATTTTGTTTAAATTTTGGAATATTTCTTTTATTTACTTATTATCATTTTATGTCACTATTAAAGCAATTTTGGTACAAAATTTAAATTATTTATTTTTAATTTTTGTATAAACTCAAAACTGAGGTGTTTTCTTATTTTACAGTTAATTTTTTCTATATTGAAAAATATTGAACTAAGTTGGGAACACAAAAAACGTGAACTTGCAAAGTGCATTTCAGTGCAAATCGTCATAATTTTATTAATTAATTAAATATAAATAATTTCTGTATGTTCAATGTGGCTGCGCATATAAGACTTAGTAGGTAAATACGTTGAATCGGTTGTAGGACATCACTTAAAGGGGCACATTATGATACCACTGAGCACCCTAATATCCGCTAGCTGCTTGTCAAATCAACATGTGGAGTTTGCTACGTCATCTGCTCAACACTCTAAAGATTGTCGCCTCTATAGGTTTCTATCTACTCCTCGAATGTGAAGATAACACAACTGTAGATAACTCCTTCCATTTCAGCGCGTTATGATCTCGCTGCCTTCTTTTATCGCATACTGCCCTCATTTCTTTGGTCACCTTACAAGCATTGAAATGTCTTTATTTTGAGTTGGCAACTTTAAGAAAGAACTATACTAAAGTGAGCTTTCTGGTCGAAAGCTGCAGGCTCAAACTTTTCTTTCTTGCAAGCTCATCCGCAATCTTATTACCCGGTATGTTACTGCGTTGAGTCACCCACGCCAGGTTTAAAGAGAGCTGTTTAGCCATTACGATAAGTGATATGCGTCAATTCTTTACTGTTTTCAATTTTACTGTTACAAATTTCATTGCTCTTAATGCGGCCGAGAGTTATGAACAAGATTTAACGCTAACACCATTGAGCTGAGACAACTGACAGCCAGCCATGAAGCAGGTGTAAGACCTCAACAGTTCGAAATTTATGTACCTATAACCAGCTACGTCGTAAAAGAAAGTAAGAGTATGGCAAATTTTATAAGTTGCCGTAATGAAGCTATACACTCAGCAAAACGAACTGCTTGGAATAATCCAGTGCATTATGTGGTAGCTAACTCTTTCACCCAGTGAAGGTATTAAGATAATTTTTACTGGAAACCAAATAATCTTACACATAACCAAAACTGAAAGTTATATCGTCACGCCAAATTGCTTGATGAACATTAGTTCAAAAATTAAAAACAAACAATCGTCAGACCTAGACCGAATCCACAACATTGTACTAAAAAATTTACCAATTGGGCTCATTCGAGATTATTGCCCACTATTTATACTCAAGGGGTTACTTAGGTCTTGTAACTTCAAAAAATTTATTTTTTTGATAATTTTTGTATAAAAGTACAAAGTGTCAGGAATATTTTCCACAAGTTTCAAGTCGATCGAGACGAAACTGTTTATATTGGAAAATTTTATAACCCGCCGTCGTTGTCATGGCTTGACGGATGGCGAAACTTTAAACGCGTTTTTCCTAAAACCACTTTATCGAAATTCGAAATCGGTGGTCAAAATTACTCAAACGACTGTTGAAGCCATCCGATTCCACACACTGACCGAAGAATTTATTTTATCTTTGATTTTAACTCCTTGTAAAAGGCAATATGTGGCCTAATTTAATGCAAAAAAATACGTTTTTTGTAAAAAACCCTGCTGAAAATTAAATTCTTAAGTTTTTTAATTTTACTTAGTTCAGGGACAAGAAAAATTCACCTACCTTAAGTAAAAATTTGAATTTTTGATTTCAGATAAAAATTGAAAAAGTGGTCATGACTACCGTGAAATCACTACACGACACTGCCAACGCCTTATTATTGCTATAACTTATAGTATTGTTCATTCAAATTTTCATCAAATGTGGTCCACATATTGTAGTTTTATATGTAAACAAAATAAATTGTATATTTTATTTAGTATCTTTTAAAGAAATTGGTGAAAATAACCATTTTTTGGCCTTCAAGTCCTGTGTAACCCCTTAACAATCTTCTCTAACCCAAAACTCATGGCCATTCCCAAAAAAGTTGAAGATAAAAATAATTTAAACTATTTTAGACCAATAAGTATGTTACCCAAAGCAAAATATTTTTGAGACACTCGTACAGATTTATATAAAAATATAAATAAATTTTTAAAAGAAAAGCAAAAAAATTAAGTTGTAACCATTTCAGTTTCAAATATAACCACTCGACTAACCCAACAATTAACCTAATGGTCTCAGGTATAAATTAGAGTTGGAACAAACAACAAGATGCAGGAGCATATTTTGGTGATTTAGAAGAAGCCTTTGGGATCACTTACACCTACTTGCTTTCATAATTAATATGATTTCAAATAAAAAGTTTAGAGTCCAACACCTTCAACAGGGCATGGGTTAATGCTCCGATATTATGGAATCTGTTTCTTAAATAAAGTAAATATTATAAAAAGCTTGTACAGATGACGTAGTCAACAATCATTCGAATGAGTTACTATAACAGCCAAAAAAATAAATGTATTGTACAACAAAATTTCGATACAGTGCAAAAGTTCGCATCTTAAAATAAATTTAAGTAAAAGTGAAAGTCCTTTAGTCCTTTTAGTCCTCCAATTTCTAAGTGCTCCACTATTAGATAAAAAAAATTGAGACAAAAAAAAAATTTGGCTCGACGTTGCTCTTTAGAAGTTTGTTTTGGCTCTTCTCTGAGTGGGGGTAAATTGATGGGTAGGCATGAGGCAGCCGTACAGAAGAGACATGGCAATTTAATGTGCGGAGTATTGCTTCTCCAAGACAACTGAATACTGACTGCTGCATTTACAGCAATCCACCATTCACTCTACAATGCGAATCTGGCTCCCAGCTACTCTTTCCTTTTTTAAAAAGGGAGTTAAGGAAACGAAGATTTTCAGACGACAGTCAGATAAAAGAGGCCGTAGAAAACTATTTTGCATTCACGATGAGAAAACACTATTTCACTTGAGAGAGACTATAGTAAAAAATAAAAGACAAAAAAATATTCATTTGTTCAATGAATGACTTTAGGTCGCGCAAAAGTCAGCCGCCCCTCGTAGCGCCCTCCAACTAATTTTTTAGATAAGAGAATTAATGTTTAAATCTAAAATGAGAAACCATGATAAGACAGTTTTTCGTTCGTGCTTTTTACAACGCTTCCTCATATGTGGTTCAACTTCCATCATTTTTATGAAGACCAATAATTTGTGATTTATTTTCTTGACACTGACACTGGTATTTGCTCCAGATTTTATAGTTCACGCCATACCATATAACTATGTACATTAGTGACCAGGCAGAAATTGACGGCACTGGACTAAGAAGTTTTTGCACCCTCTGGTTAACATATATTTCATCCTCTGCAAAACTCTCTTGATGCTAAAAAATTTGCTGGCCGAAAAGGTGCTGAAAATCATTTCGTTAAGTTCTTAGCCGATTTGCCACAGAGTTCTTGAGTGATGGAATTATTTTTGAAAAGCTAATCACTTTTTTTTGCAGTAAAGCACAAATGTCGTTAATGGCACCCGAACTCATTAAACTGATGCCGTTTTTCTCCAACTTTTCAAATGCTCTTAGATTTTTTATATTATCTTTTAACTTGTATCCTTTTTTTGCCTCCTTAATGCCTTGATTCGCCTCATAACAAAATTAGAAACTAAGAAAACACGTTTTTCAGCAATTTTTTTTTTAAGAAAAAACTATTTCGTTAAATAAAATTTTCAGAAAATAATGCACTATATTTAAGCTTCGAAAAAGAATTTTTAGTATACAAAAATATTGGAATTTTCCAATGTTGGGATGAGCTTTCTCAAGCGACTGCAGTCTGAACTCGTGTATCAGTGCCGGTGATGGAGGTCGTGCGATGCACGAGTGCCTCTTCGATATGAACAACCGAAAAATTTGAGAAATTCCAAATTTTTTCGAAACTAAAAAAAATATTTAATACACTACAAAAAAGTAGTATAGGTAATACTTTTGCTCAAATAAATTCAAATAGAAGAAAATTTAACACTGAGGCTACATCACTTTGATATTTCCCAACTGGATAGATATTCTCTTCGCTATTACAGGCATCGTTTTCTAAGACTTGTCGAAAAAATACGCTTCAAAGTCTAGCCGGAGCATTTGAAGCTACCCGACGTGCGACCACTTCACTGTTCTAGCTTTTAAAAATATGTCGAATAGGTCACAGAAATTTTGAATACATATTCACGGAAATGCATTTCTTGAAGGCTATAAAGCCGACCACTGCCTATATATATATACAATATATATGTATAGAAACCTAACCAACTCGATGAGCAAACGCGTGACGCTGTAAGCGATAATGTAAAAATAAAAATGTATATAAATCGACTTGTGAGGAATGAAAAGAAGTGTATTAAGAGTGCTATAAAATGCTATAAAATCGCAGTTGTAGATAGAGCAATGCAATATTTTATATTCTCACAAGCACATAAAGGCACTAACACAAATGCACTTACCGCACAATATAACTAAACTTGCAACAAAGCAAAGTATGTATGTATGTATCGCCGCTTGCTCATGCACATATATTTATGTGCTCTTTTAGTTTATTCACTGGCTCAGTTTAAGCCCTAGAGGATCACGGAACAGAGCGTGAAATATTCGTAAGTTTTGTTATTGGCGCAGCACTTCTAGATTTTTAATTTAGGAATTCAACATTTTTTTTGTTGTTTTTGCTGTTAAGCGTGCTCACTTTATGATTTTAAATGTAAGCTTTATATAACTTGAAAAAAAAATGTTATTTCTTTTTATTTTAATTTTAATTTTTATTTTAATTTTAATTTTATTTTAAATTTTTTTCTGGATATTTTGCAATTATATTTTGTTGCGCTTACAACTGGAATGTGAAATGTGGCAATATTGTGTTAATATCTTATTTTGGCATAAATATGCTACTCACTTTGCGGTAAATATATAACAACTGAACACGCGCAGAACTTCAATGATGCTTAAGTATGTTCTTTAAATTGGAAATAGTTTTGCTTTATGTTTTTATTTCGAAAAAAAATATCTCTTCTTTTGCATGCTTCAATATGTTTTTGCTGCGACCCAGCGGGGCGTATAAGCAACATTTATTATTAGCATTTCAAATTCATAGCAATTTAAAGCAATCCAAGCACTTCACTTAATGCAAGCCATATAACGGATTTTAGCACTTCCGTCGCACGTTCACCTCGGCACTGCAAAGAGTGCACTGCTCGACTATGGCACACACACAGCCACACTAAGCACACACTCACACAACCGAACTTCCGTTTCCGCAAACAAACGCATCCGCTATGACGCAACCAAAATAAACAGCCGTTAACACTTGATAACAGTAGTGGGAAATAAAAAACAAACAACAACAACAACAACAAAACTATTTTCAACACAAACACTTAAATTCTGCTATCCCGACCGGTGTTGTGCTGCCATTTAATGAAGCACACACACACATACGCACACACACGAATTAATATTATTTATTATTTTACCGTTATTAAACGCCGCGACGTGCCACACGCTTCAAACGAAACGTAAACATCAACTGATCTGCCGTATTGTGGGGAAATTCTCAACAGGCAGGCAAACAGTCATTGCCGCCTAAACGTTTACCCATGCAGCTCAGTCGCCAGCAGACACGCTTCGTATTCGTTCTAACACCACAATTGTTGGCTGTTTGTTGTAGCTGTTGGTTGTAGTAGGTTTTATTGCCTCGATGGCATGTCGTCGGCTGTGTGTTGTTTGTTAACACAGTCGCGTTTTGGCAATTGCGTAGGACAAGTCAGATGTTTGTATGTGTGTATGTATGTATGTATGTATGTATGAATGAGTCCCCATGGACACATAAACCATCATGGCTTTTGTTACTTCTAATCTTTTTTAACTTTAATTATATGTTGCTATACATTCGTATGTTGCTGCAACAAGTTGCTGGTGCTACTGCGCACTCTCCAACTTTTGGCGCCATTTCGTTCGTAGGTTTTGAGCACGTGCGGCCAGCGTTTGTCTGTATGTTGCTGTTTTTGTTTACACATTTTTGTTGTAATCAGCATCGCTTTATTTCATATACATTCACGGTGAGTACAGTGGTGAAATAAGGAATTGATGATAGTAAATAATTAATTCGGTCCGATTGTGTGTGTTCAAAAATTGTTTTCTATTGAAGAGAAATAAAAGATAAAGGGCTTCCTAATAAGAGGTGTTATTGTATTTTTTGAGATAAATGTCTGGATGTTTATTTTAATGTCAAGCCATTAAATGGAAGCCATAGATATGCTTACAGGATCGCATACTTTTCATGAAGTTTTACATCACCATTCGCAAAGTGGCTGCTGTATGCCGTCAATAGCTTTACGTAAACCATCTTTGAGGTCTTGAATATTTCTATTTTGTTGGTGTGGATCTTATCTTTCACATGGCCTCCAAAAGAAGAAGCCGCAAGGTGTTAAGTCACAAGATCTCGGTGGCCAATTAAGGTTACCTCTGCGAGAAATAAACACAGTTCGGAAACTTTTTCCTTAAAGTCTCGCTGGTTTCATTGCTTGTGTGGCACGTAGCATTGTCTTGTTGAAAATGAAAGTTGCCCAGATCAATACCTTTCCAATTCTGCTATAAAAAGTAATTAATCATCTCTCGATAACGCAATCCATTCACCTTAACTGTTGCTCCTGCCTCATTTTCGAAAAGGTTAGGTCCAATGACCACGCAGGGCCATTAACCGCACCAAACGGCAATACGTTGAGGATGAAAAGGCTTTTCAACAATAAGCCGTGGGTTTTCCGAGCCGCAAATGCGACAATTTTGCTAATTGAAGTTGCCATCGAAGTGGGAATGGGTCTCAACAGTCAAGATGATTTTTCAATGAAATTCCGTATGATTTTCACGCATTTCAAGGACCCAATCAGCAAATACAAGAGTGGTGAAACATCAAATAGTTTAGCTTGATGTGACAAAGTCTTTCCACCTGTTTCAGGCCCACCAAAACGCACTTTGCTTTCTATACTAAAATCATCATGACGAAGCATCGAAACCCTCTCCGCATGAATTGTCGGTCGGTCCAGCTTCACCATAAACTTCCACAATCTTTCAACGAGCCTCAACTGTAGCTAGAAAAGCACTAAATACTCTGTATAACGGCATTGGCGAGAGAGAGCTTTATCAAAGCGGTCTCTAAAGGACATCAGGCACTGTTGAACGATACAAGTATGACGTCGGAGCACCTCCTCTGTTTCCATCTGGTGCTTGTCCATGTAGAACACGTCTAAGGCGATTAGGACTTACGCTGTTCAGAGAACTAAAAGAAGCCTCAATAAAACGATTTTCTTAAACTTCTTGGTAAAGCATTAACATCCCTCACACCATAATGGAACTACAGTTCGACCTAACGGCCAGCCAGCGTTGTAAAACAAATTGTCATATTGACAAATACTTTCTCCTTCTGGACTGGCTTAAGCTTTGATTTCGCGTTTATAGTCGAATCAGCAAAAGCGCGTCAGTCGTTTCTTCTCATCGCCGTTCCTTGCAGTTCGAGACGATAAGTAAAGCCCAGCTCATCCTTCATCTGACGTCTCACAAGACTATCTCTTTAGTATGGAAAGACTCAGAGAGGTCCTACTCGATCCTAATGGAGCTTTCGGTGTTGGTGAGCATAAGTTTGCATAACCGTATAAGTATTTCAGATATTCCAAATTCAGACATAGCGGCATAGAAGTATTTCATATAAAACGCCAGACAAGATCCTTTATATATATATACAAGAGATATTGAAGACCAATCCCATCATAGTACGCACATGCTGTGAGTATCACTTACCATGGATTGGGGAGGGTATATTCGAATTCATTCCTCATCGGTCATGCTTCGTGCTTTCTACCGACCAAACCCTGCATGCAATATGTCAGTTTGTGGCAACAATGTTTGAATGGCTCACCGGTAGGTCATTGGCCTCACCGATTTTTCTTCTTCACATCTCTATTCGTACATCAGCATACTATTTTAATGGAACGTCTATAGCATCGGCAACTATTGGAGTTCCTGTTTGATTAGTTTCTTTCCTTTTAACTGCATTCAATCTAACTTCTATTAATGAACGGTCTTGAAACCTTCGGAAAAATATTTCAATTTTCCGTAGAATTATTGAGCCATCTGCCCTTAGATATCTCCTCAAAATTTTCTGCCTCTCTCTTTTCGTATCAGCTCTTCCTTCAATATTACTCCAAACCAATTGTTTCTTCGTCGACGATGCGCAAGAAGTTTGGAATGCCAATACTGAGTTCCCTTACATCGTGTTTCTGTGTGAGTGTTTGATGATGATGAGAATGCAGAAGTGCAAATCGAGTAGAAAGCCTACCAGGTGTAAATGTGACAGCAGCGAATTCATTAGCCATCATTTCTTGTATCAGTCGTAAATCTTCGTCAATTTCGGACTTCACCAGAGCTACAGTGACGTCATCTCTGGAAGATTTTGGGCGATTTTCTTAGGGCTCGTCCTCTATGGAAAAATGCCCGGTCTGTAATCTTCGGAACCACTTGGAAATAGTATTTAAAGACGGTGTAATCGTTCCGTATGCGACTTGACATTCACTGAATATTTTTATGGGCTGTAAATTACGCCGAAACCCGAAGAGAATTACAATACATAGCGAGTTTCTGTTTGCGTTGGTGGTGGAATTTCTGTGTTCTCGTTTTCATATTAGCTAATTGCTCCTAGATTTGAAAAGAATACTTATATTGTAATGGTGGGATTGGCAAGGAATCATCCACTATGAAGGAAGGAAGTAATCGCCCAGAACTGTCATGCTTTGACCAAAAGGAAGGGAATCGTGTGATAGTGAGCTCTGAAAGCTTGGCCACAAGGTTCTTGTTGATCCACCAACCCTATGTTACTGTCCTGTGTAATACGGACTAGACTGAGAGAGATCTAATGGCATATCAGATGTAAAGCAATAATAATGGATTTGTACTAATAAACTCGTTAAATTGAAATTATTCAAGCAAAAGCACTTACGTATGTAATGGCAGAGCTGAATATGTGTGGGTGTGACAAAACAAATGAATGTGACTATAAAGTGTTAGTAACTTCAAGTAGGATGGTGAAAAGATGGTCTTGGCTGTTTCAACAAGGAAGAGGAAGATGGCTCCCACCTGAGGTGCCCAGTGACGGTCGTGACCGAACAGAATAATGAGAAAGTCGAAAACTTAGTACTGGCTGGTCAAAGTATACAATTGTGGCAGACAGCAGAGGGATTACAGTTTATCACAGAACGAGCTGGAGAGATTTTGCATGAATATTTGAAAATGAAAAAATTAATACGCGTTGAGTACGCCGCTCGAAGGCAGTGACAATTGGAGAGTTGTAAATATTTTTTGTAAACAACTTGGATTCATCAATATAAACCCGCTGCTCGGATACTAAAAAGGGAAAGGACTCCAAAAAAAATTCAATGTAGAAAAGTCGGCGTTGAAGATTGTGGTTACATTTTTCTGGGCAAACAAAGGAATATTATTAATTGATTACTTGCCCAAGTGCACTACAATGAACAGACTGTATTGTGCTAATTTTCTGAGTCAGCCACGTGAGGCAGTAGTACACAAGAGACGTGGGAAGTTAGCGCGAAGAGTGCTGTTTCTTCAAGGCAACGCACCTGTTCAAAACTCTCTGGTTGCGAGGGATGCCTTAAAAGCTAATGGATTTATAGAAATCGACCATCCACTCTACAGTCTTGACCTGGTTCCGAGGACATTTTTCTTATTTTTTGAAATTTAAAAAAGTAGTTACGCTGACAATGATTTTCAGACGACGGTGGGATCAAAGCGGCAGTAGAAAACGAGTCTGAAGAGAAATCTAAAAATAACTTTTCTGTGGCATAAAGGTATTCACGATATGTAGAGTATTTCACTTGAGGGAGACTATATTGAAAAGTAAAAAAAAATATTAATTTTTTTCATTAAGTACTTTAGGCCACCAACTTATCACCGCCTCTCGTACTTCCGCCACAAGCAATATGTTGAAACTTAAGTAGACACTTTTGGAGCTCAATAGAAAGCCTAAACAAAAAGATGACAATGATTTCAAGTGTCTCCAAAAACATTAAAGGTTGCCTACTATCAATATTATTATTTACCTTATTTTTCTTTCTCTCATAAGCCAAAATTTAAGCGGAAATCATGCTCTATTTGAGCCAAGAATAAGCAATAAATACACATCAAAAAAATCATCGAAGTGATGAGACTGCACAAGGCAAACACTTAGAAAAATATAATTTTTGTAGAAAAACAGTTGATGTTGTAAAATTGACTAAATTACATTAAAGCTTTTAAGGCAAATTGATGAAATGTTCCTAAAGCAACACAAAGAGGAGTGAACAAATCACACGCGAAGATGAGCAAGTGTGAATAGATAAAGCAAAAAAGAAAAGTAAAAATCGAAATAAAAGTAAAAATAATAATAAGGTGAAACAGTAAGCAAGGCAAGGTCAAGTTTGTGCATAGAGAGGTGCATACATATAAATATAATTATGTACATACATACATACATTTATATACAATTTGTGCTTTTTGTTAAACGAATTTTGAAGACGAAACAATTTGATATGACGTCGCAAATATTTTAGTTACTTCGCTAATTTGTCACGTGTTGCGATGAAATATTTCAAATACTCATAGACAAACATACATATGTATGTATGTATGTATGTATGTATGTTGTCTAGCATTGCAAATGTATTTGTTGTACCACCAAATTAGTGCCGCCGCGTTTAAGCGTTTAATTTGTTTAATAGCTCTGCGTTTAACTGTTAATTGCAGCAATTAATTGTGTCTCAAAATTACTCCATTCAGTGGTTGATTCGTGGTTGTTGTTGCTGTTGTTATTGTTTGCTGCTAGTTGTTGATTATTTATAGCGGTCAGCAATGCGAATGTGATCCACTACCATTTACTACTCACTGCCAAATATTCAAGTTTTCTCTATGTATGTTTGTGTGTGTGTGCGTGTGTGTGTGTGTAGTAGTTGTAGTGCTCCTAATGAAAATTCGTTTAACAATCGTTTGCCTTTTGTTTTTGCTATTTTTTATTGCTTTCAATTTTTATTTATTACTCTGTTACCGTATTTTCTTGGCACATTGCTAACGAGCGCCATTGCGGCCACCGTCGCTGAATGAAACTTGTTATGCCTTTGCGCTTGCCGCCACTGTCGCCGCTGCCACCGCCGAACCCATAGTCATTGGTTAAATGGTGGTAAACGAATGAGTGTATGATGTACACCTGCCAGAAAGCAAAAAGCAACTTGTACAAGAAGTAAGAAAAGAAAGAAAAAAACAAAACCCAAAACCAATTGTTTATTATGTAATAGCTCATCGTGACCTGATATTTATTGTTTATATGTATTTATATATGTATCATTACCAAATGAAATTACTCATCCTTACTTTATTTGGCAAAAATGATTAATAAAAAAATTTTGAACTCAATTTTTTTTTTTTTTTTTTTTTTGAAGGCTCTCGCTTGTGCTCTAGAAACGTCGGTGGGCGTGAAAACTATATACCATAAACAACGGATACGAAAGAAGCACAAAAGCAAATGTTAAAAAGCTTCAAACCGTTTCAAAATCAGAGGAGGCTTTTAAAATTGTAACAAGCACATTTTTCTTTGCTTTTTCATTCCTTCATGAAAGGTACATGCGAGGGAATTAACAAAAGTTCGGTTAGTTGACCAGAAAAAAGATAAATTCTTTTTGTATTTATTCGTACTGCTTGTCGTTTTTTATCTTCTCTACGTATTCGCCATATATTTCAACGCAAGTCTTAAGTCTATAGATCCACTTCTAAAGACAGTCTTCAAAATCTTGGCTTTTAAACCTATCAAGTTCAGCTTTACTTACTTACTTTACTGGCGCAGGCACCGCGTACGCAATTTTGCCCGCTTTACAACATTGCGCCATTCGTTCCTTTCTTGTCCTGTTTGGCGCCAATTCAAGATACCAAGTAAAGCTAGGTCCTTCTCTACCTGGTTTTTCCAACGGAGTGGAGGTCTTCCTCTTCCTCTGCTTCCACCGGCTGTTACGGCATCGAAAACTTTCAAAACTGGAGTATTCGCATCCATCCGTACCACATGACCTAGCCAACGTAGCCGCTGCTTCTTGATTCGCTGAACTATATCAATATGTCGCCGTATAACTCGTACAGCTCATCGTTCCATCATCTGCGATATTTGCCATTGCAAAGAGACACTCATCCACCGGGGTGAATGTCAGTACTCGACGACGGAGTCTCTCTCTGTCAAGATTCTGGGTATGTTGTTGCCGTTGCGAGGCTATACTCAAATCCTACTCTTGCGACCACGTCACGTAACCTGGAAACGTGAACAACCCTTGTGCAAGATGCGGCAACAAGCCCGTGTGGAGCCTCGGGTCACGGCTAATGAGAGAGGAAGCTTCAATGGGGCCACTCCGACTTATTTGGTTTAAGGGTCTGCTGAAGTCTAATTGCAGCGTCACCAGAGGTGCGGCTGCGAGCGGGCGACGATCTTGAAGCAAGCGGATCGCTATATAAATGTGTAAAAACTTTAAACTTACTAGCCTAGCGAGGTTTTGGGCTGGGCTTGGGACCCGCAACGTAGATACCAGAAAATATAACAAAGCCTGGGATGAGTTGAGCATTAACCGCATTAATTATCTCCTCGTTGCTTTTAAAAGTATCTCCTTTTAATTTTTTTATATTTTGGGAATATCCAGAAATCACAAGGTGCCATATCCGAGGGAATTCGGTGCTGGATGTATATTTTCGATATCAGAGATCGCTTTAAAATTACTCGTCGTTTCAGCTGTGTGGGATGTCGCAAATCCCCCTTCTTCCTGTTTTCCAACAACTATTTGAAAATTTTCGGTAAGAAAACCTTCGGTGTACCATTTGTCCATTACCTTTTGACACATTTCCAGTGGAATAGCAGCTAAGATTTTAGATCGGGTGAAGTAAGCTGACGTCATTACTTCTGCTGCTGGTTTTTGTTGCTAAATTTTACGGGTAGGCTTGCTCCTGTTAGGCTCCATACCATGGACTGCTGTTTGGTTTCTGGATTATGCTTATAGAACCAAAATTAGGCATCATTAATGACATTGACTGACGACTTTCGAGCTACATTGACGTCATAAGTGGAAGATTTTGTCGATCTTCGGGGTCTCGTCCAAAGTATGCCCGGTCCAGAATTTTCGAAACCGCTTAGAAATAAGCTTCAAAGAGGCAGCAATTGTTCCATATGCAATTTGGCTCTAAATTAAGCCGAAATCCAAAGAGCATCACATGGCGTTGGTGGTGGAATTTCGTCTGACCTATTCTCAGCTATTTTGCGTTTTCTCATCTCTATTTTAGCCAATCCTTCTAAAAATTCGAAAAGAAATAATTGCAAATGATTTGGTATGTTCAGATTTAAAAAAATTAAATAGAAAGTCACAAACTGACCGAAATTTTATCAATCCCCTCTTACAAAGGGATTTCCAGTTTGGACATTCAAAGAAAACTTCGAGAGATTTTCGAGATATGCTTATTTTTGAAAGTGCCTATTTATGCCCTCAATAGCTTCACGAACTCCATGTTTGAGGTCTTGAGCGACTTCCACGTGTTTATTCTTTATATCAGGGCACGCATCACAGCAGACAGAACTTAGTCAGTTAGTAAGTTTAACACGGAGCCCTTAGCAAGCGCACTTAGCCGGACTGGCCATTGTGCTCCGAACAAACTGTAGGTCCTCCCATTTGTTGTGAAGGCTTCAAGACGCAAAATACTACTTGGAAAAGAGCTCAGCCGAACATCGCTACAACGGTGGCAAAGCGCCAATCATAATTTTTATTATTAAGTAAAAAAATAAATATAAGAAAAGCAGAGCTTCGGCAACATAAGAGAGATGAAATGGATACTTTTAGTGTTACAATTTCTATCCGACTCTCGATAAAAACCGCAAAAGAGCATTTCACCAACTGTGTTGAAAGCGCAAATTTTTGGAAAGTTTAATTTGAAAAGATGAAATTTTCAATTTGTTTTCGATTTATTGTCCCACACTTCCCGCCTTTCACTTTAACCCCAGCTCATCCCAAGCAAAATGTCTTCTTCTCATTTATATAACAAATTCGTTTATTATTAACTAAATTCTCATAGGCATTAAAAATTAATTAAAAAGCATAAAACATTTAACACAAAAATAAAAACAAAAACATAAAACTCTTTTAAGCTCGAAAGTATGTTTTTTGCGTTTGTTTTGTGGTTATGTTGAGTGCATTTAGGGCTTAACATGTGCTGAATGCTGACGCGTATGTATGTTTGTATGTGTTGATGTGAATGGCCAACGGTATTTGGAAGGTTTCGAATACAAATTCTTTGCCTCTTTGTCCATGACAACTAAACTAATAATGTTTGTATGTAAAAATTTACTAGTTGATAGAGCAATGAAGAGCTCTCTTGGCGAATTTGTCACCTCACTTCTTCTTCAGGAAGAAACGGTTGCTGGTGGGTGGTCCATAATTGGACGATGGCAAATGTGTTGGCTCTTCCACAACAATGGGCGCCATACCAACAGCCTCTGGTGCCAAGTACTGATTGCTAGGCGCTGGCGCTGTAGGTTGTGGCTGATCACCAGCAACGGCGGCGAAGGGTAGCGCAGTGGGCAAGTCAAAAGCATCGGCAGGCAAATCGCTTACAAATTGTGGCTGTTGTTCGAGTGCTGGCGATTGTTCCTGTTCCAACGCTGGCTGGATGGTGGTGAGTGGCGCAGTGAGATCAGCAGAGTACTCATCAGCTGCAGGAGCACCATACTCGCCGGCTGGCACATCGGAATGACGGGGATCCAGATCGGCACCGTTGATGCTATTACCGTTTTGTTGTTGCTGTTGGTCTTGCTGCTGTTGTGGTGGTGGTCCATATACGGGCGCCTCCTCCTTCTTGGTCTTGTACTTGATGAAGTAAACTTCAGGTTTAGATGGTTTTGTTGGCGCAGCAGTTGGTATGACAATATCCTTGACAGCTTCGGGTTTCTTATGCAACACATAGATGAGTGTCTTCTCTTCGTTTTGTGGTGGTGGTGGCACCACTGGTGGACGTATGGATGCTGGTGCGGGTGCTTTGATGAAGACGATCTTGTAGTGTTTTTGCTTGGCAGCTGGGGCATGACGTACGCGTGTCTCGATCACATCCTCATCCTCAAAGTCCTTTGGTGGCACATGCACATATACATGCTTGTGCACTGTGGTGGGTTGTGGTGCATATGGATAGCCGCCGTCTTGATCGATACTGGAGTGTTGGTAGGCGGCGTTGTAGGAATCCTGCTGATCGAGTGGCAGTGGCTGTACTGCTTGGTGCTGGTGTTGGAATTGGTTGCCACCTTCGGCTGCGCCGATCTCGGCATTTTGTTCGATGTTGTTCAGTGTAGGCTCACCGTTCAGCGGAGTGCCGTAGGTGGTGGGTGGCGGTGCTGCAAAATTGGCAAAAGCGTGCTCGGTGGGTAATTGCTGATGCAAAGAGGCGGCATCTGTGTGGTGAGAAATCAGTGTGAGTTGGGGAATAAGAATGTTGCGAAAGAGACTTTTTTTGTTTCGTCATTGAAAAGCGCGCTGGAAGTGGTTTGGCTAAGCTTACTAACTTAATAATTTGAAGAAATTCTGAAAATTTCTGTAGCTTATTATAACATTTTCCGAAAAATTTTGCCTGCAAAGCTTTTTCTGAGCTTTCACGATAATTAGCTTAAATTTCATTGGAAGAAATTCTGTAAAATATTGAAAGCTTATCTTCTTATTATGACATTTCCTGAAGAAATTTGCTAATGAAGCTTTCGAGCTATAGAAGTTAAACAGTAATGGGGAGAGGACACCACCCTGCGGAATCTCCTGTCTGAGCTTTCACTTTGGCTATTTTACATTTAAAACCCAATAGCTTGAAAAAAATATATAAAATATTTAAAGCTTTGCTACTTTTTATGACTTTACATCTGATTCGGAGCCTTATAATTTTCCTTTAAGTAACTTATCGAATTTTGATATTGATTTACTACTTCGTTACTTCAAATAAGTTGCAAATCTGCTTCGGTCTTTCTAATTCTTTCCTTTTCCTTGAAAGCTTCCATTGGGTTTCCTTCGAATATTTTGTAAGCTTTTAAGTATTTATTTAGGGACTTTAATAAATAATACCGCAAACTTTTGTATTTTTAATCAGTTATGAGCTTTAATGGTTTTCGGAAGCTTTCTCAACTTTAAGTGAAAAAATATTACTGTATAACTATTAACTTTGCTAATCAACTGCTTTTAGGTAATTGTTGGAGACCTTCAATATGTAATTCCACAAAATCTTACTTCTTCATTTAATTTGAGTATTATTAGTTTTCGGGAGCTTTCTGAACTTTGAATAAAAAAACGTTTGCTATTAAGTTCTTTAAACGATTGTTTAAACTAAGCTTTTAAGTATTTATTTGAAGCCTGCAATAAACCATTCCTTAAAGTATTACTTTTGTAATTAATTATGAGCTCGGGTAGTTTTTGGGGAGCTTTCTGAACGTTAAATGAAAAACTAGGGCATTCAAAAATTATTTCGCAAAGTTTTGCTTTTTTAATTAATCATGAGCTTTAAGGGTTTTCGAGAGCTTTCCGAAGTTTTTTCATTAATTATGAGCTCTGGTTATTTTTGGAAGCTTTCTGAACGTTAAGTGAAAAACTAGGGCATTCAAAAATTATTTCGCAAAATTTTGCTTTTTTAATTAATTATGAGCTTTAATGGTTTTCGAGAGCTTTCCGAAGTTTAAATGAAAAACTATTGCTTTTTAAGTTTATTATCCAACTGTTTAAACTATAGCTAAAACTAAATTCAATTCATCAACTTTTTAAGCTTCTTCGCACAAATTTTACAATTGTTACAAAAGCTTCTAGCAAGGTTTGTTGTATGCTTTAAACTAATATTAATATTTTTAGTTTAATTTTACTTAATAAAATTCATTTCACTTTTTAATTTTGATTTATACTGCTGATTTTGTAGTACTTCCTTTTCTTTGATTTTTTTGCTTTTATTCAATTTTCTTGAATTCTCTTTTCTTTAAGCTCACTAAAAAGCTTTCAGCTTTCATTTTTTATTTCATTTAAATTTATATTTAATATTATCAATTTTTTTTTTTAAGTTTCTTTAACTAACTTTGTAATAATCCATTGTAGGTGTAACCAGCCTCAGGACGCGCCAAAGCGCCCGCCAGCAAACAGCTCACTAACACAAATACACGCATTATACACAAAGCGTAAACAAAAGGCTTAAAATCCTTTAAATCAGAAATTAATTGAAATTAATCGAAGTATTCCAAATTTATATATTATGTTGATGCTTTGTTATCCACCGGAAGCTCGAAGGGAAACTATGTTGGAGAAGAGCAAGTCACGAACTGATGACAAGCCATTGGCTACAACATTAATTTATATGATTCCGAAAAAATGCTGTTGCTCATTGCAACAATTGATGTTCGGACTATAAACACTTGAAAAAGATCTACAACAACAGCAACAATAGTAAATAATCACTGAAGACCATTGCGGTGAAGAAAACAAAAATGCCAAGAAAAAAAATTAAAAAAAAAAAAATATATATATATACATATATATGTATGCTACTACTTTGAGTATGCCAAAAAAAAAACGAAATTTTGAGTTTACTAAAATACCATTAAAATTTGTAATTGAACTTTGGCGATATATATGTATGTATGTATGTATGCATATAGCCAATGTATAGCAACGGCCAAATGTTAAAGAAGAGATAAGAAAGAGAGCGAACCTTCAACTTGTCGGGCAACATCATTTTCGCTATACATATGTATTGTATATGCGTGATAAGTGATTTTTGGTGGCATCAGTTGGCAACAGCAACAACAACAACAACAAAAACAGCAGCGAAGACTTTAATGTGCGACCGGCAAGTGAGTAAAGTAGTGCAAGAAAAAAATAAATAAATTCAAAATAATAACTATTATAATTATCAATAAGCAAATATATGAACTTAAAATTTATATACAATAAATTATTTTAAGTCATACACAACCTCGTAAGGAAAACTGATTTTTTTTTTTATTTATTTATAATTTTTTTTTTCTATTTAGTTTCAATTGCATTGCCAATGATTTGAAGTGTTAGGAAACCTTCAATCAAGTGCTTGGCAGCCAGTTAAAGGCATGATTTAAAGGTGAAGATTTAACAACAATACCAACAACAAAAACTGCTGACAGTCGCATAAACTAGAGCTCTCTTTCTTACACGGCTAAGCTGCGTCGGTAGCAACGGCAACTCTATTGCTGACATTTGCCACTTTAGTTGCAGCTCTGAAGTTTTTTGAGTTACTTGTACGACCGTGACAGCCGAGTGGTGAGCGTACGCGTTGCGTACGGAAAATCACGAGTTCGAGCACGGCTTCGACTGACATTCAAAATTATAGAATATTATTTTAATTAAATTTTTCCGAATGCGGTCGGTCCTCGGGTCCCTCCGAGTGTGCATTTGACTTGAAATAATAGGTGCTCATAAAAATCCATCCGCAAAGGACTTCTGCTAATAAATGGCACCACAATCTTATCAACGTAGACAAGTGACTTCTTACAACCTCACAAATGATCTTGCCACACGACAGGCCTACGACGCGTTGTGCGCGGGGTAACAAAAACGTCCCTACCCTCTTCGGGAACCAAATTGACGGGTCTGAAAGGTCCTACATGGGCTTCTTCTGTGACAAAAACTCTTCGGTTTTCAAAATTCACAGGGACAAAGGGAACAGGTGGGAAAGTAACCTCTACTAGCTGGAGAGAAGCCGACACCTCTTCAGGGAAAGACAAAAAGGCCTACTGGGTCCCGGGATGCCCGTCTTCATAAGTCCGCACAAGGCAAAACAATACAGGGGAGGGAGGTCAGTGCAAGACTCTAGACGGGAAAGACTCCCAACCCCTATCATCTAAGTCCTGCTCAATCTACTGGAGCAAAAGTTGACCAAGATCAACGCTCCTGCTGCTACAAAACCATTAGGTTCTCCGTCAGTGGACACAGGGACAGAAAATCAGCTGTCAAGATAGTGAAGAAGCTTGGCGCCATCCCTGCCGACAAACTGACGGATGTACAAAAGGCCTGCCTGGTCTAAACAACGATGTTAAAGCGAACATTAGCATCTGGCGTGGGAAAGCCCCCTCAAAACAACAAAATAGCTTGGGTCTAAGGAAAACATCTCAACACTTCGAGTGGATCCAAAAAGCCTAGGCCTACCGCTGTCGTCAAAGGTAAGACGCTTCAGCGAGTTTGCCAATAAGCACTTCACTCTAGGCGTCGTAGATGGAGTGCACTTTGACAAGTAGAAAACTGTACTGACTGGTCTGTGCAGAGTATACAAGGGTTTACTTCAAAGATATGCTGGCCTCGCAACCGCAGTACGCTACGCAGGGTGGCTAAAGAGACGCATCAAACTTGTATAGTATGCTGATTTTAGAGCAGTAAAATTCTACCAAAAGGCTAACGTTGAAGTTGGAGAGCTCTGGCGTGGAGCAAACTGTGCGGCTTTGCACAGAGACGAGATGCATAGTAGACTACTATCATGGGCTTGAGTGCCAGCTCGAAAGATAACTTAGAGCTCAGCCGACTGGGCAATAAGAAACTACCCATCACTAATTGGAGGAGAGTCCAAGTTGGCTAGGTAAAGTAGAAGCAGCGTTTTGTGAGATTCGTCCTAAACCATCATTCCCAAACCCTCGCAGACTATGGAGGAGTCATAAGCTACGGATTTTACTTCAGCACTCTAAAATTCCACAAGAAGGATGAAAATTTAATCACAAAAGTTGAGAGGGCCACGAGCGAGTGATGCGCGATACATTTGTATAACAGTTTTCGACAAATTTAAGTGTCGCAACAAGTCGCTGGCATTGCCTTCTAACATTTGGAAGGCCAGTGTTCGACTCCAGGTCTTACAAAACATTCAAAATTATACATAGAAATTTCATTTTTCTAATGGTGCTCATCGTCTTGACAGGGAATATTAAGCTCTTAAGCATATTTCTGCCATGAAAAGCTGAGCTCCTCATAAAAAGCTATCAGCCGTTCGGAGGCGGCTTGGCATAAACTATGCATTCCTTCATTTTTTTTGGAAAAATACCGAGTTTTGGATGTACGGCTGATTGACTGTGAGTTAGAGCTCGGCCGAAAAACAATTCAGCGGTAGCGCCAATCACTTATTACCTATTCCAATCACTTAACATAAGGGCTATAAGTTTGTCTTGGGGCCAAAGAATATTTGCTGAAATTCTATAAAAACTTGGCACGGCTCAGTTAAGGACGTTGTCATACTCGGTGGAAAGGATAAACATTGAGTTTTGAGTGCAACAGTGCTGAATAGCATTAACAACGATCAAAGATTAAACTGTCTGTGACTGCCTTGCAAGCACAAGCACATACTCGTGTTGGAATCTTCGTATTTTATTTGACAAGGCTTTATCCAATTGAAGGGCACTACTGTCGCTGCTGCTGCTGCTGTTGTTCTCTGCTGCTGCCAAATGACAATGAACTGGGAAGTGTTTACATTGCATATCTGCCTTAAAACACTTACGGTAATTTTTGTTTATTATTTTTGTATTTTTTTTTTTTTATTTTCGTTTTTTATTGGGCTGCCACCAAGAAACCAAAAGCGGCTGAAATTCACCGGTTCACCGTTTGTCCAAAGCACAGCAGCATCACAACTGACCCAATTTCGAGTGCGTGCACAGTTTCGGTGCAAACGTGTAGCATTCAATATACAAAAAACAAACAACAACAACAACCAATACTGTTCGAAAAAACAACAAAACCCTGCAGAGCAATTGAAATGATGCAACATTGAATTGAAGAAGTTTTTTTTTCTTAATTCTTTTATTTCCTCGCAACTTGACAATGCACATATGGGCTTATATGTAGACATATATATATGTGTATATATAATATATATACATGCATCCTACATATGTATGTATGTATATTTATAAGATGGCTCATTGTTTTTGTTGCTGATTATGTTACAATTGCTGTTGTCAGGGATTTTTTTATTGTTGTCAACGACGCTCATACATACATATACATATATTTATAGTGTTATAAAAATGTTTCGTTGGTTTAATCAGTTAAACAATGACGTTTTGTGGCTGACGCTGGGTAATATATATATATATAATATATATATATATAGTATAGCTCACATGAAAAACCCCTAACTACATACGCGCATATTACGACTCAGTGGATTTAAGTTGAAATACCGTATGAGTTTTTAACTTTTCTTCATCAGTGATGATAGCTGCTAACTGAAGCGCAAAACACAGAAACACTTTTCAATACAACAAATTACTGAACTGAAGAACTTGAGCAGCTCGAAGCTGGAACGCGATTCAATGAATGATTCAATGGCTTCCGTGGAGTTAAAAAGAAATGCATGGCAATAAAGAATACCCATTATAATACTAATACATAATACGATAATTTGGCCGCTGAATTCAATAATGTTTTAGGGGGCAAGAAATACTTAAAATTTTTCAGAAGAAAAATTATTATTTTTTTGGTTTATTTTTATTTTTATTTTCCCTTTTTTTAACAAAATTTTTATTTGTAAAAATTGAATTGCGATTTCATCTTCAACTTGCAATTCATTTTTCCCAGAACTATTGTATGATTTCTAAACTCAATCATTCTTTAACTCCTGCATCTTCTCGAAAGAATTTCTATTTTATTTTTAATTTTTCGTGACAATAAGGAAATTTTCAAAAAAATGTTTCGATGCCGCCATTTTGCTAATTTAAAAACAGCTTTGATTTGGCACCAAATTATTTTAAAACAAAAAAGGGCTGTGTTGTTGTTGTAACTGCAAATTGATATAATCCCCAAGTTACTTTCTGACGAATGTCGCGGGAGTGGCAGTCTTTGGCGCGATTAACAAACGGGTCGTTCCGGTATAAAGACCCGTCTGTCGCGGGAACTATTGGATTTTATTCGCCTCTTACGACAGGAGCTAAAGGGTTGTCTTCGGCCATGCTGAAGTTTTCATACCCTTCATGATCTTATAAATATTGATTTTCATATTTGGAAAAATGGTGGAAGGGTGTTATATGATGATGACTTGTAATCATTTTTCGATGGTGTTTTGACTAAAAATATATAGGAATAAATCGGTTGTATGGGGCGCTATGAAATAGTAGTACGATTCTGATGATTTTCAGTACAAATAATAAGTTCACGGATTTATAACCGAAGATACCAAATATGAGGAGTTTAATAAAAGTTCGGTCAGTTTGACTTCCAATATGTTTTTGTTAAATCTAAAAATACCAAGTCCTTTGCAAAATGATCAGCTAAAATATGTCTGACGAAATTCCACCGACAACGC